CTCTATGTTACGAATATTTGCAAAGTTCCGGCCGTGTGCTATAAACCGCCATCAATATATACGAGCAGCTGTTATGCAGTCGCCATGGCACTGCAGCGCAGTACTCCTGAAATAGCTTTGCGGCGGGTGAGCTGCAGTTCCCTGTGCGCAAGAGGAAGCATTTCTCATGCTGCCACTCATTTAACTATTGATTTACAACTTTCTCGGATATCATTGTCGCTCTTATTAATCACTGAAGTGTACCATGACGAGGTCACCAGCGCCGTCAAATATCGAAACAAAAACTTCGGCGAGCAATCCCGCCTCCGAGTACGGCGCTGGGATGGCTCTCAGGAGTACGCCATGTGCAGGGCGGCGTCCAGACGGCGCACCAGCCCCTGGCGATGATGGACATTGAGTGAGTCTATGGAGCCGACTCAATGCCATGCTCGCGGGGAAATGCGGCGTAGCAGGAAGCAAGGAGACGGACAATGCTACTCAGGCAGATAAGGCTGTTATGATAGCCGCCGCTAGAGAAGAGAACGCAGATCTCATAGCAGCATTGCCATCTGTTCTCACGACCGTGGACTGCGTCAGTTTAGATAAATACGTCGCAAACTGACAGCCTAAAAGGGCTGTGACCCCGGGTGGTAAATGAGTTTTGTTGTATCGCAAAGTTACATACAGGGAGCTGTGCTGTATCACATGCTCCACCTCCAATTGCTTCTCCTCCATATCCTGTGCCGAATCCTCCACCGTGTCCTCGCGTCGGCACGCACTCTGGCGAAGCCCCACCCACGTGCCCCACTGTGTCGGCGATCTAAAGGTCTGGCTCGTTCGCACAGACTCCGATGGTGCGTCGGGACTCAACGAGGATGGTGTATGGAGCGCTGCTGCCAGTCGCTGGCAAACATGCTCGAAGACGGATGTTTGGCCGGCGCAACTCTTAGCCGACCAGCTGCGCTGCTCTGCCTGTTTTGGTAAAGCGGCCCTTCTCAAAATTACCGTACTTGTCGAACTAATGCACACTATAAGGTGATGTTAAGGATGGCGTTATTATTTGGGCGTAAGTAAAAATTAATTTGGTAGATGAAAAAACTAGTCTTCACTGTACGTGATGGCACCAGAAACTGCACCGCCTCAAGGCATAGAATAAGGCAAACGATTCAAATGCAGCTTTCAGTCTGAAAAAAACAGGTGAAAGCTGTAAGGAGCATTAATCCATCTACGACACTGCGGTCAGCATGAGCGCGGAGCCGCTGACCAATCACAGAAGAGTTGTTTCACAAATTTCAGCCAAGAGTCAGCGTTACACTCTTACTGTACTCGGCTTATGTCGATGACTTGCTTTTGTGTTCAGATGCGCAGGCATTGCTCAATATGCAGGCAACACTCAGGCTCTCGTGTCTGGGAAGTCGGTGACTCGGATTTCTTTATTATCCTATGATATGAAACCCCACGAAACAAAATATTTTGCTTCTCTTCGTTGGCTTGGCAACAAGCGGAGTGAAAATCAACGCACAGAAAATCTAGCTCACAGTTCTTGGGTTTCGTCAAAACATTCCGCGACTTTCCAACATCAGTATTGAATTTATGGGAGCCACTGTCGCTGGTTCTCCCACTGTGCGGAGGTTAGGTATCGTACTTGAACGCCACATGACATTCGCAGCCCGCATTGACGCGGTTGTGCGGCGATATACAGGCATGCTCTGTGGCCTCAGCCATAGCAGGCATAGTCTATAACAATCTACCCTGGTCACTCTGGTAGAGGGACTAGTGATGTCGTTGATCCGAAACCATTCATCGCATACGGAGCGAGCAGCAGCGCTCAACTAGGCCGACTTCAGAAGCTTTTAAACTTTACAGCCAGAGTTATTTCCGGGCGAAGGAAATACGAACGTATCAGCAATGTTCTATGGAGGCTTCAGTGGCTTTCAGCAAGAAAACTTGTGATGACATCCGGGCACGGGTCACCCGCTCGTGATCTTGTTACCAGGTATAGCAGTAACCATCGTACCAGCAGACATGGTGGTCGGCTCGCAACCACACGGTAAATATTCCTAAGTGTTTTTAAGAAAGGCTAGGCGGTCATTCCAGCACCTTGCGTGGAATTTGCACCTTGCGTTTTTATGGAGTGTCAACGACTATATTGGCCATATTCGCGTTCGGGGGCTACGGGTGCAGCCGAGATTCGACCCCGGGCCGCCAACAAGAATCCAGATCCAGTAGGAATCCAAGGTGCTAAACACCTGGCCATTATGCCCCCTGTGCCCTGTGAGCCAATGCAATTTAGGTGGCCTTGCTTTCTTCCTCAACGAAATGCTTGCGGCGCACAAAACTCCGACGTTTTTGAGTACCGAAGCATATTCAATTTTACGTAGTAATGAAAAGCATTAAATCTGTTCAGGATATAAGGAGGAATCGGAGACAGCTAAATACCTTAAACACTTTGTTTTAAACAAATATGCGTTTGTTCAATGTGGTCCCCATGATTATCCTGGCAGATCTGTTATCGCCGAGGAAGTTTGGCGAGGCCGTCGCGGAAAAATCAACCGGTAGTAACTATAGCCCAGCATTCACAGCTATCCCAGTTCTTCTTCAAAGACGAGCTTACTTCCCGGGAGCTGCTTCTTAGCCTGTGGAACAAGTGGAAGTCACACGGAGCCAAACACCCGGTGGCTCCCTTCCCGGAGGCTGTTCCTTTGCTTGTGGAACAGACGGAAGTTACACGGAGCCAAACATCGGGCAGCTCCCTTCCCGGAGGCTGTTCTTTAGCTTGTGGAACAGGTGGAAGTTACACGGAGCCAAACATCGGGCGGTTTCCCCAGATGAGTCGGCCGGCGCGTCCGTGCCGCCCCTGAGCGAACCCCCAGGGTCCCAGGGTCAGGAACCCCCTGGTCAGGGTCATCACGCCACGGTATGCCCATGGTCATCGCTGGTTATACTCACGAGTCTCGACCAGCGATAAACTGAGCCCACGCCAATGCATTCATTACCGTTAACAGCTCCGGCCTGACGTGATTAACGACGGAACAAGCCGCCTGGCTGGCGAGAAACACGATGTCTGGGTGCGCGCTGTTCAAGGCGAGCAGGCAACACGTACTTGTCCGTTGTCTTTCAGTGTGACGAGGCTCGTTACCGTCCGTCATGCTTCTGAAATGTCGCTGGAGGCCTCAGAGCGAAAGCGATACAGTTTTCAGAACATGAAAAAAACATGTCACGCAAACTACGTTCAGTCCATCCCAGCGGCTACTTCCACTCAGAAAGAAAACTGGAGGCACTATTTTTCAGCACTACTAGAGCAGCTACACGAGCGGACGCGCGCTGTCGCAGCAAGCGTCCGGCCGATCCGACATAAGTTTGCTCGGCCGCCGTATTGATCCCAACGGAGGTGGGGCGGGGTCGACCCCGACACTCTGGCGGGGGTCACGGCGCGCCAGCGCGCCGCCCCGACCCGCACGCAGTTCGTGTTCAGCACGGCAGCGCTTGTCGGCGTCCGCCACGATTGGCTCTCTGCGGAGATGACGTCACGAGCCGCACGGCGAGTAATTGGCCTGGCTCGTTTCTCGCTGTCCGTAGCACGCCAGACATTGCGCCCGCCGCGGTGGAAGAGCCGATCGAGGATGGATTGCCTTGCTCGGGCCGGTACCTAGCGCGCGTGCCCAGCGCATTTCCCTAGACGGGCCCGGCCTGCTGCTACCTGGAACATGGCGTCTAGCGCTGGCGAATCCGGGAAGGGGCAGGGGAGGGGGCTATTGAAGATCCATGGCAAACAATGCGCTGCCCAATGCTGTGAAAACAACTGGGCTCATTTTCTTCAAGTTTTGTTTTCTGGCGATTGTCACGGCATTCGAAGCTCAACTCGCCTGAGACGCGATACCACATCTGTCCTTGGGGGACGGCGACGAGGACGGGAAGGGACGTTCTCAGAAGTTCACGGTCGGCTCGCTACCCGCATAGCTCAATTTGCTCTGGAATTCGACGATCACTTAAGATGGACAACTTCATCCGGCTATTTCTGGTCCACGTGCAAGCCCGTCCTGCCGGCGACAAAGCGGTGTGGCTCAGGACCGGTGGCTGTGGCTCGGGCTCACAGGCGGTGGCTCGGCTGCGGGATTGCTGTGCTCGATCGCTTGCCGCCCGTCTGCCGCTCGAATAAGCCGCCGGATCTAAAGCCGCCCTAGTAAGTGGCTTACGGGATTGCTGAGGCTGTTTTGCTAGGATTTTTACGGGGCGGTGGCATAGCTTGTCAGGTACGTCCTGCTCTCAGGGAAAATTCTTTTGAGTTCCTAAAGGTAACGCAAAGTATAACTGCGTTCGCTATATGTTGCGCTTCGATATGCTCGTGTAGTCACGAGCATATGACTCTCCCAAAGAAACAGAACGCCGAACTCCGCTTTGAAGTCGATGGCTTCCTGGCATCATCAAAGAGCTAACGTCCCACCTCCGGCAAAACGGTAATAAGGCGACCGGCTCTGAGCTTCTACCCTTAGCGCACCACTGACCCGTGTCACCTCAGCTGTCAGCGGTGCTGTACGCTGCAGTGCATAACAGAGGACGCAGTCGCGCGCAGTATTTACAGAAACGGCAACAATCGCCATGTGACGTACCCATCGCCATGCTTACGTTATTATGTGAGGTGAGGCGGAACGCCGTTCCCCTATGCCATGGGCACGAACTGCATGGTTACAAACGCGCGCCATAAGATGTTCATCATATTCCATGCATCCCTTTTCGATTCATTCCAGCAGCTGGTGTACATCAGTGGACGCCATGTTTCCCGATGTCTTCCCCTCCGCCACCTCACACGATAGCTTGAGCAATGTCTAGGTTTGATAGCATGCAGATGCAGGCTTGATTGCGGTTGTTGCTCCATTCATCATGATTGAGTCGTGTTCGATGCTGCCTGCCGAGGAAACAGCAGCTCCATCAGAGTGCTGACGCCCGGCCCGCTCCGGCAGGCCCCGCCGGCCGAGGCGTCACCGGGGCGGGGCGGACGTCGGCCGGCCCTGCCCCGCCGCCCACCCCGGCCGGGCCGGCGGTGACGGCCGGTCGGCGCGGCGACCCGGAGGAGGTCAGCCACGAGCAGCCCCGCCAGAAGAAGACCTCGGCCGACACGCAGGTGGTGCGGGTGCAGGCGGACACCCTGCTCTCGCCGGCCCCCAACAGGGACAACATGGCCGACATCTACTTCATCGGTGAGGAGTGCGCCCCGGCTGCCGACCGTCGCTCTCCCCCCCCCCTTCCCCCCAGCCGGGGGCACAGCTGCTCTCGGTATCCGTCCGCGCCGCGTACGTCGCCCAAGTGTTGCGTCAGTTTACCGCAGAGCGAATCGCGTCAGTTTACTGCAGGGCAAGTTGCATCAGTTTACTGCAGTGAGTCGCGTCAGTTTACCGTGGAGCGAGTCCCGTCATTTACCGCAGAGCGAGTCGCGTCAGTTTACCGCAGAGCGAGTCGCGTCAGTTTACCGCAGAGCGAGTCACGTCAGTTTACCGCAGAGTGAGTCGCGTCAGTTTACCGCAGAGCGAGTCGCGTCAGTTTACCGCAGAGCGAGTCGCGTCAGTTTACCGCAGAGCGAGTCCCGTCAGTTTACCGCAGAGCGAGTCACGTCAGTTTACCGCAGAGCGGGTCACGTCAGTTTACCGCAGAGCGAGTCACGTCAGTTTACCGCGGAGCGAGTCACGTCAGTTTACCGCAGAACGAGTCACGTCAGTTTACCGCAGAGCGAGTCACGTCAGTTTACCGCAGAGCGAGTCGCGTCAGTTTACCGCAGAGCGAGTCGCGTCAGTTTACCGCAGAGCGAGTCACGTCAGTTTACCGCGGAGCGAGTCACGTCAGTTTACCGCAGAGCGAGTCGCGTCAGTTTACCGCGGAGCGAGTCACGTCAGTTTACCGCAGAGCGAGTCACGTCAGTTTACCGCAGAGCGAGTCAGACGTTACTCGGAACGCCCTGGAGCTGTAAATCGCCACTGTGAGTGGCAGCCCACCAAATGGAGCTTGGTCGTAACTGATTGCACCCTTCCAGGGCATTAGTGATGCAATGAATCGCAACATTTGCTGCTCGAGGAATTGATGGCGCGCTTCAAAAAGACACATGCACAAAGCATATTCATGTTAACTGAAACGCACAAGGAATATGTGTTAAAATGCATTGCTGTCAGATAACACGCAATTTCTCTTATGACTACTATTCTTATGTTTTTAAATGCCTATACATGTAGCGTCTAAGAAAAGTTTCGTGAACTATTCCACTTCATAAATCCCTCTCGGAGAGGGTTATAGATAGCGCAGGGGCAGTGGGCATTATAAATGTTTGTACCTGCTTCCTTATTTCAAGCGCTTAATGCATTTTCTGCTTTGTAAAGTACAGCTAGGCCCTTGCTGCATTTGGACATAGGTCTCCTAGTTCTGAAAGGCTGCCTGATATCTGACCCATGGCTGACTGGCTGGCTGCTGCCATTTCCAGTGACGGTAGCAGGGATATGCGCCATGGCCATCGGCGTCACCGTGGCTGGAGGCTTCTGCTACCACAGGTGATGATTAGGTGTAACTCTGAAGCCACACGGATCTGACAAGTTCCCAAGCTTTAAGCGCGCTGTCAAGTTATTCTTTGTACAATAGGGTTGTTTGACACTGCGCGGATGTATTTCTATCTTGTTCCTTCTAATCTTTCCGTTGTTTTTCATCCTCTATTTTATCTCTTTGAAAAAGGGCACGCCATAGCCACGTGCTTGTGTAGAGCGTCAGGTGATGTCAAAGAAGACTTGGCGTGTGGTTTCGATATTTGTCGCATTCAAGTGCTATTCATACACGCCACGGCACGGTAGATGACGTCGAGCTGCGTCCGGCCTTAAAGTTGCTGCGGGTCGCAACGGCTTGACGGCAAGTTTGCCTTGAATACCACACCGTCTAATGCCGCCACGTCACTGATAGGCTCCCTTGAAAGCCACATCCGTCATTTTATGGTGCGATGTGTGCAGGTCTCATGGCCGCGAGACATTCCTGTCTCATAAGTTTGCTTATCTGGCAGCGACCGTCGCCGGCTCGTCCTCATTTGCAGCGTCGTGGCTCGGGCCGTGTTGGCGTCTGTCCGCGGCGGGCGGTGCTGCGGTCCGCCCGCCGGCGCTCTGACCTCCCGGTGTGACCTCAGGCTGCAGAAGCGGGCCAAGGCGGCCGGCGACGCCGAGTACCCGGCCTACGGCGTGACCGGACCCAGCCGCGACCTCAGCCCCTCTGGCGACCGCAAGCTGGCCCAGTCGGCTCAGATGTACCACTACCAGCACCAGAAGCAGCAGATGATGGCCATGGAAAAGTGAGTGGCGGCCGACGCCGGCGGTCGCGGCGCGCTTCGGACGTGACGCCGGTGGCGTGTTCTGCTGCGCGTCTCGAAACACTCCGTCGGTCTGGCTGGAGTGATGTACAGCGCAAAAGAGGGTGCGGACGCCGCATTCTATGGTAAGCTCTCGAACAGCTATCCAACCATCCATAACGAACTGCGCACTTCTGTTTGAAAGGCACTATCAGGCCCGGTGAAAAGACACCAGGCACTTCGCGTACCAACAAAAGGCTCTTTGCTCGGCTCATCAGGGTCGTGTGCTCCCCTCATTGCCGGCCGGCTCAGGCTCAGAGAGCATCTGGCACTGCCCGGTCGCTGCCCGGCCGGTGCCCGGGACGTCCCCGCGTGGCGTGGCGCCGGCCTCCGGGGACGCGGCGACGGCTGATTACTGTCCCCACCGCTCCGGTCGATTAATTGGAGCCGGCGCCACCAGAGGGGAAGCGTCGTGCGAGAGCTGGGAATGGGTCGCCAGGCCGACATCTGGGCCGTGGATGCAGGTCATCGGGGCGGCGACCGGACCTGGGAAAGAGGTCAACGGGTGGGTCACCGCGCTTATGTGTTAACCTGGGACTCAGATGACCTCGTTGGTGCCAACTTTTATCTCGTTTCCCTCTCGGTAAAGTCATGACTGCTTTAAATCACATCGACTTTGGAAGCAGATCTCTGTGATTGAGGGCCTGTCCCGACAATTGGAAGCTGGATTAGAAGCTGGAAGGACGGCTGGGATCCACGGTTGGACGTGGTCGAGTCGGGATGACTGCACCGAACCCCGAAGTCTGTTTTCCGGGTGGTCCGCTGCAGTTGACAAATGTACCTGAGTTACTCGCCAGTGAGGCTGACCTCTGCGTCACCGAGGCTGAGTTTGGCTGAGGACAGCCTGGTAGGCGACAGCTGCGTTTCACTGAGGCTGAGTTTGGCTGAGGACCGCCTGGTAGGCGACGGCTGGGTTTCACTGAGGCTGAGTTTGGCTGAGGACCGCCTGGTAGGCGACAGCTGGGTTTCACTGAGGCTGAGTTTGGCTGAGGACCGCCTGGTAGGCGACAGCTGGGTTTCACTGAGGCTGAGTTTGGCTGAGGACCGCCTGGTAGGCGACAGCTGAGGGAGTGGTCGCAGCTATGCGCATCAGGTGGCGTGTTGGCCCGCCAGCTGGCGGGAGATTACGGCCTATATCTAGCTATATTGCCGTGGTGCTGATGGTTGAATGGCCGGAGCGTGCTCGGGTATCTGCGTACAGCGGCGAGTGGCGAACGGTATCAGCTCGAATTGTGAATGGTTCGGCGGACGACAGGTGGCATTGCTTGGTTGTTTTGGAGTTCTTGCTATTTTACTTAAATGATGGGAGAACTACGAACACCGTTGGAGAGATATGTGTGGTCAAAGCTGTAGCATGTCTTAATTCAAGTGTCTCCCCAAATTCTGATTCAAGTGTGGCTGAGATTGAAAGTGGACAACTTTGAACGATTTGTAATATATTTGTCCGGTCTTACCTTAGCGTTCAAATAGCGCAGATCATAATGTGCCGGTGGACAGGGATGGTACCAGGTGCCGAGATGTGGGGAATGATGAAAAACATCACTGTTTGTACGAACATCAGCGCTGCGTTTAACGTGCATTGTTCTGACCATATCTTTCATATCTATATTCAAGATAACGGTACGCCGACATTCCGCTTGCCAGTAAAGTTCAAATGGTGCGTTTGCGTATATACCACTTGGGACAGGGACCATAGATCAAAATGTAGGGAATGGTGTAAGACATAATTTTTACAAACATGAAGGCTAAGTCAAGCATGCGTGTACCTTAAACTTAACTTAGCCCAATAGATCAGCTATGATTGGCCATTGGCCGTAAAACTTCACATAATGCAAATGAAGCTTAACCTTATAGATTGGTCCTGTGAATCGAGACTCTGATGCACCGAATCAACCCCTACGTGGAATTGAGGCAAAGTTCCCCGCATGGAAATGATATTAACGAAAAATTAATTCGTCGACAAGATCCGTAAATGCAATGAACCGAACTGACTTGCGCTAGAAGCGCTTTACGCCAGAATACTCAGGTCAAGCCAAGGACAAAAAAATGGTATCGCCATTGGTGGCAGCGAAAGTAATTTACCTTTGGGCTAATCGGATTCATTGAACATTACCGCGGCAGACGGCGCTGAGCGGAGTATCCCTGATCGTCAGCGTTTGGTGGTGGTGGGGGGGGGGGGGGGGTCACTCAGAGGCCGAGCGGAGTAACCCGTGATCGCATCCGTTGGGAGGCACTCAGGGCGCTGAGCGTAACCCGTGATCGGCGTTGGTGGGGGCACTCGCGCTGAGCGGAGTTAACCCGGTGTCAGCCGTCTGGTGAGGCGCACTCAGGGCGTGAGCGAGTAACCCGTGATCGTCAGCCGTCCTGGTGGGGGCACTCAGGCGCTGAGCGGAGTAACCCGTGATCGTCAGCCGTCTGGTGAGGCGCACTCAGGGCTGAGCGGAGTAACCCGTGATCGTCAGCCGTCTGGTGGGGCGCACTCAGGGCGCTGAGCGGAGTAACCCGTGATCGTCAGCCGTCTGGTGGGGCGCACTCAGGGCGCTGAGCGGAGTAACCCGTGATCGTCAGCCGTCTGGTGGGGCGCACTCAGGGCGCTGAGCGGAGTAACCCGTGATCGTCAGCCGTCTGGTGAGGCGCACTCAGGGCGCTGAGCGGAGTAACCCGTGATCGTCAGCCGTCTGGTGCGGGTCGGGCGCACAGCGCCCACACCCACCGTTGCGTCTCTATTGACGCGGCGTTGTTTCAGAACCCACAACGGCCGGCACGGCTCCGCCTCGGATGTCGACTCGGAGGAGGAGAACGAGGAGGGCGACTACACCGTCTACGAGTGTCCCGGCCTGGCGCCGGTGAGTGCAGGCACCTGTCCGCAGCCCGTCCCTTCCCGGCCAACAAAGCGCTGGCAGCATTCCTGGGGGCGATGCGTCGGTGTACAGTTCTGGACAGTTCCTCAGGCGGGCGGGTGAAGAGTGCCGGCGGTAGCCGCGTTAAGCCCGGTGTCAAGTGAGGCTTGAAATGTGACGCATCCACAGCGCAGATTTGATGCGCACTGTTGCAACCTACGAATGTGTGGCCGTTATGAAATCTACTTTGACCCGATGGTAGTGACCGCTGCCACATCATATAGCAATGATATGCAGCAAGTAACGTCATGTAATATATCGTGCCATTTGGCACGATTGCCCAATGTTCCTATCCTTCGGTATGGTTTTGCTGAAGTTAACCGACCACCAAAATATCAGAAGCTGTTTAAATCCTAATATCAACCAATAATCAGAGTTCGCTATGAAAAATCTTTATTCTTAGCTTTTATTTAACCATGTTTTTCGTGACGGTGACCGTAAGCATTGCCTTGAATCTTTGATAAACCGATATGATTGCTGGATATCTTTATTAATTCAGTACGTTGTTGTGTATCGAAGTTCGGTTATTTCAGCATAGCAGCCCTGTTGCCACCTGTGCCTGGTGTGAACGTTGGTGGCCCAATATCGCTGGACTGTTGTGGCACAACAAGGGAATTTCACGGTGCAAGCCTTTCAAAACAAGCTCAGCAATAAAAATTATGATCTTACTACGCGGGCTATGCGTCGCACTTTTTACGCTGCCGGATTTTGAGTGAAGTTTTCAGAAAAATAAAAAAATACACTTTTGCATATTTGTGTTTTCACAACTTTGCTTGGGTTTTAGACTTGCTGAACGGCAACTATTAGATGACGACATTAAACATGCTCTTTTTGGGACAAAGGCCTCGGCACCACAGTATGAACTCGGAAATTAGGGTAATTCAGTTAAAGGGAGTGCTCCACATTCGCATGGGGTTTCGAACTGAAATAGTTATCTTGAAGATCATTCGGTGCAGTTCACAGTCCTGACCTTAAGGCCAAAACCGCCGTAGTCTCTGAACTGCATACTCGCGAATATGTGCGAACTATGTCAGGGAGACTTTCAAGGCCGCCCAGGCATCCATGTCCCCAAGATAGCGTCATTGAGATCTTGCCATTCCATTAGCTACGTGGTGGACAAGGCCAAGCAAAATATAATCTTGGAGTCGTTCAGTATCTGACGTTCGTGTGCAATATGTATTCCAAATATAACTGGCGCCAATTGGCTTTCAATCGATGTTGTGCAAAATACGATGAAGCAATCAAACAATGCCGCATGGAGAAACATATATACCAGACAGAGAAATGTGTTGTCTAAAGCACTCTTTTCCAGCTAAAAGCGCACCAATAGTTACAACTGGGCCATCATAAGTGATCCATCATATCTGATGCTTGCTTCAATATCTTCAAATGTGGAACATTCCATTTAAAAACATTAGTTCGGATATTTGATGAATCATGTCGGAGAAAAGTGCTCAACCAATCCATCGCAAAAATGTGCATCCTAGAACGTGACGTTTTGTGGAGATCATCCCTTAAGCTGGAACTTTCATCGCTTATCAGCACGTGCAGTTCAGAAGAAGACGAACCAAGCAATGGTTCGGACCGCAGTACGGCGTTATAAAATGTTTCGTCCTTAGTGTGTTTTACAAAAACACCGAACAACAAATTTGGTGAAATTATCAATCATTAACGTTCATGGATCTTTTTAGTTTTGTCCCCTACCTTGTCGTTTTTCTTAGCATCATTGAAATTTGGTTAGCCAGGGGTGCATAACTCACACGTTTCACATTGATGTTCTTATATGTCACCAACACTTCACCCACCTTCGTTTTGCCACCCATGCGAACCATTTGATAGCAATTATCATTAACTCGTTACGTGTTTGTGGATGTGTTTGCACCCACAGTACACCCCCCACGCAATGCACTGCTGGTCTTCCACTCACAGTAGTTGTTAAACATTGCCGTTTGCATTCGAGCCCATCACCCCTGCTGAGCTGCACCAAACCAATTGTTCGGCTTAGTTTGTCTCCGACATTTGAATTAGATGGCATTGTGGGGAGCTATTTCTCGTGGCACCAACTACTGTGGCACGGCCGTCCCGTACCAGGCGGCGATCTTTGACCTGTCGCTAGCGACTTTTCGTGATCACTCGGACCAAGCAGTGCACATTACTGGGAGAGGTGCCAGTTTCCCGCCGGATGACAAGTCCAGTACTTTTTTCCCAGAGCACAAGGATGACGTTACGTATTGAAACTGTTGAATAAAGCAAAAACTGTCAATCACATCGTTCATCCCAATACGTTATTTCTATAGGGCCTTGCCCATCCTACCAGCCAAACGATACCGTTCCATGTTGTGCCTCGAATGATCGTTGATATGACGCATTAACCATTCGACTCGTTCCCAGACGGGTGAGATGGAAGTGAAAAACCCGCTGTTCCAAGACGATCAGACTCCCGCCCCAACTACTCTTGCCGACGCGAACGGCAAGTAGGGCGGTGGAGCGGCCCGTACACCCAGCGCCCTCTGGTCCTGGAACGGCAGCCAGGCGCCCCTCTGGTCCTGGAACGGCAGTCAGCGGCCTCTGGTCCTGGAACGGCAGCTAGGACCATGTGGTGCCGGAACGGCAGCCAGCACCATCTGGACCCAGAACTGCTGCCACTCCCGTCCTGTTCTGGAACCGTGGCTAGCGCCATCGGCCGCGGAACGGCACCCAACACAATCTGGGTCCGGAACAGAGGCCATGACATGAAGAATGGAGGTGGTAGAAGGCGCTCTCTGGTGCTGCACACTTCCTGGACTTGGACGGGCTCCAGCACCCTTCCGTTTCCAGGGCTAGAGGTGAACGATGTTGTGGGGCTGGCGGGTGGCGCCCCCCCCCCCCCCCCCCTCTTACGCTGGGTCTTTTGGGACGGACCAGGTTCTGTTTTACACTAGTACCGACGGGCCTCACCAGGCTTGGCAGGCTGCTGTGGTGGTCTTGCCGTTTGTGTTGTCTAAAATACAGCATACACTGATGTAGTATTGTGTGAATATGTAGATCAAAGCTATTTTCGTAACTTGCCATCGTGACTAAGCTTTAACCGTTGATATCTGAATAACGTTTATCAGCAATGGAAGCATAAATTTTATGTGGACACTTCAATGGCGTATCTGAGTGGCAATGTCAGGCCCGATGTTTTCACGGTCAATATTTATCAGGTGGTAGATGAAGCTCTGTTTAGCACCTAGAGTGTAGTAAAAAGCTAGTCACGAGATTAGCGAAAGAGGGCATTCTAATGTATATAATAACGCCTATACATGCTAACGTGCATTAATATTGAGCTTTTATTTCCGTTCCGTGCATATCAAAATTACTTGATGGCATGTCATGCGTAGGACCTACTGCAGCTGAAGCTTGCACAATACTAAATGCTTGTCCGGGATTAGCATGCTTTCTTACGGCGTGATCTCGCGTAGCAACCAAAGTTAGGAGAGACTCAAACATAAACCTCTTTTCCCCCCGTCACCGATGTCGACATCTTGATGATCACAAAAATATCCAATAGATAATTTCAGTCGTGTTTGGCCTGCGATAAGCAGAAGATAATTCAATTATACTTCATCTAGCACGCTACACGTATTATCCGCAGGTAGAAAAGTTGTTTGGTCTTTGTGCGATTTGATACACGGCGGGACAATTAGCTCCGATTGACATTACAGCCCTGTACGTTTCGGGCGGAATGAGGGGAGCAGTGGCCGCTCGCTCTCCAATCCCGGCAACATTATCTTTACGGCGCTGCTTGGAGGTAGATGAACTGGTGCTATCTGATCCCATCTTTCGATCGCTTTAGATGCTGGTACAGCCTCCACTATTTCTACGGACGGTTGTCGGTTGTAGCGAGAGGTTGAGCTCGCTGAAAAGAATCTGCCGTAGGTGCAGGCTCGGGGGCTGATGAAATGCATGCCAGCTGGCGTTATCAGCTCTTAAATGCTTCTCCAGCGCAAAAATGCAATCGGGCCTAAAATAGCTATGATAATATCTTTACGAGCTAGTAAACGCCTGATCAACTGATCATGTTTCCAAAGCATATTCTGATGCAAATCAGGAATGTGCGGACACATTCGTTGTACCTGTTTTGCGTTGTTCGCATGACGTCGTTGCCATTATCGTGCGGGATGGGTCCTTCATCTGACAGGGACTCCGGCTACACATTGGCGGCACTCACCGGCAACATGCGAGAATGGGTGGCTTCATATCTGGTAGCTAGTTTAGCCTGGGACGCCACTTCGTCTTAGGGCTGACATACTGACCCAGAGCTTCCTGTAAGTTCATTGCCAAAGACCTCACAGCTGCCCTTTACGTGAAGGCACTTGATGGCCTGCGCTATTACCATACATTTTAAACACATTAGGGGTACAGCATTGTCTCGCGCTATCCATGGAATGGCATGAGTGCCTGCATGATATGGCACGAGCGCACCCATGCACCACTCTGACCGCTTCGGGTGAGGAATACAGGGAGTCATCAGCTCTCAGTGCCTCTGCGGGTTGGCAGACTGTACTGGGCGTGCACTGCAAACTGCGCTGAGGCACTTGCGAAATGTGGAAGGCGTGGGCTCATTGTAACCATAAAACTATATAATGCCTCGCTGTATTATCGTTGATAAGTCGCACTCAGTAATTTGTTCGAAATTTTGGTCCAGTGGCATGCAATGTGCGGAAGTTTAGTTCGATGGTAAAGCCGTCAAGTTCAGCTATTCTAATGCAATGTGGCTTACTGTATTTCTAAAAATCACCGTTTCTCGTTTTCTTCTTTCCTTCTATACCACTGCAGCTTAAAGGACTAATCCTTAAGAGTTGGAGTTAGCACATGCATACACGTACACACACACACACACACACCACACACATATATATATATATATATATATATATATATATATATATATATATATATATATATATGTGTGTGTGTGTGTGTGTGTGTGTGTGTGTATATATATGTGTGTGCATCACTATTTAGCACAAACCGATGCATGCAAGGTTATCTTGATCCTCGGTGCTAAACTGCGGCGCTTGATGTCCGGGCATAAGCTTTTCTTGTCGTACTCTTACTGCGCGTAATGCACGTGCTGCGCGGCATTACTGGGCATATAGTACTGAGTATGTTAGTCTTTTACCATTGAGCCCGGAATAGTTACTGAGCGCAGGACGAAATGGGCATATATTTTTCAGGAACCACATAGAATGCTTTGTAGACACGACAAATATATATATATATATATATATATATATATATATATACATACATGTGATGTTTATGAAATGTGTTGTCACGCGTGCCGTAGGAGTTCTTGTTGCCCTGCTCTGTTAATCGCATTTAATCTCGCTCTCGCTTGGCCCCGTTATGTACCTGAATATACCTGTGTTCTCGTGAGAGGTCTGGGGTCTAGGGAGCTCCGTTTCAGCCGCGCTGGTCACCACGGCAGCAGCCCGGAGCACGAGCACGGGACGCGGTGCCCGTTTTGGCAACTCCGCAGAACCAGCAGCTCTTGCGCTCTTGCCGACTCATCTAATATGCACAGATTCATTAATAATTCCTCCGTCTGCGGATGGTTAACATATTCACTGGCAATAATGATTTCACATCGTGTCAAACAGCTGATCAGGACATGGGCTATTGCCTCGAAGTATCCACACACCGCCCGGCCAGGCCGGAGGTTGCATTGCGGGCATGTTTGGCGAGGTAGCCGAGGCTCGAGACCCGCTTTGAACCGCTGGGCGCACCACAGCAAACCAGCACTGGTGCAAAGTATAAAACCATGTTATCCTTTGAACTTTTCCATGATACGTCCTTGTTCTCTGATGAAATGTTTTGTTAGACGTATATGTTTGCTAAATGTGACCTATTTTGAAGTTTTTGGAACCTATGAGGTAAATATGTCAGGTGATTTGGAAGAGATGGATTAGTTTTCACGATGATAAGCTTTGATCGTTAGAAAGAAGTCTGCTCGACAGATTATCAATGTCGAACAGATTCGGTTGCCAATTAACGTACGTCAGTAATCAATGTGGACTATACACTGAGACTAACACGGAGGTGCAGAATGGAGTCTAGACCTCCTATCAATCTGTCTATCATGAATCAGCGTTTTTCTCCATTCGGTCATTAGTCTACTCCAAATTTCAAATTGCCTGCTCACATAAGATCATTTAACATGATCCCTTCTGATTGAAGGACATTGCAAGATGATTACCTTGTTGGGACTAAGGTATTGCCATCTTTCAGGTAGTCATAAATACCTTCTCACGGTTTTGCCAAATTCGCGCTTAGGATCTTGCGTAGTCCATCGAACGAAGTAGCAGGAATATCCACACAAGGTTCAAACTCACTTTTAAAATTTTCCCTTGCATCAACATGTGGTAAGTATTACACCTGGGTCGCTATTTCCGTGTATCAAGCCCAGCGAGCTTTGTGAGCAACCGCAAGCATTATTACTTGACTGTCTGAGATAACTTCTCGATTGAAAGCACATTTTTGAACCGACAGCGTAACGAATGGTAACTACCCATGTAACACCTATGGCATTGAGATAATGAAGAGGTAAAACATCACGATATTTTCGCATACGCCTCCAATGTATAACCTCAAACATGATGTCGGTGTGGTGCGTATATGCTTCTGCCTACATAATGGTTTGTAATGCACGTCTGGTCTGTAACCATGGCCTGTCATGACGAAACGTTTAAGCCAGTATCAGATTGTGGATGCAAATGCCAATATATTCGCATACATGCCAAAAATTATATATATATATATATATATATATATATATATATATAC